TACTACTACTACTACTACTACTACTACTACTACTACGACTACTACTATACTACTACTACTGCTGCTACTACTACTACTACTACTACTACTACTACTACCACTCCTGCTGCTACTACTACTACTACTACTACTACTACTACTACTGCTACTGCTACTGCTACTGCTACTGCTACTGCTGCTGCTACTGCTACTGCTACTGCTACTGCTACTGCTACTGCTACTGCTACTGCCTGCTACTACTCCTGCTGCTACAACTACTACTACGACTCCCAGTCCCACTCCTCCCACTCCCACTGCCACTCCCACTCCTGCCACTGGCCCTCTCTCTCAAATGCCGCATTTTTCAGTTTGGGAGCAGATGGTCTCGGAGTGGCCACGCCATGTCATGTCAAAGAAACAATACCTCATAAATAAATGCGCCCAAGGTGCGACTCCACCTGTGGCGCTGCTGCCCGGTGGGCCCTGAATCGCCCGGACTTGCTGTTCCCAGGGTCGTGAAACCTCTCAGTTGTTTATCCCGAGACTTGAATATTTTTGGCACTCCGTTCCACTTCGTATGCAACGGCTCTTCAGAATCAAAAACACCCTTCCTGAAAGGCCGGAAGTAGTCTTCTCTGAGGTCGGACTGTCTGTGTCAATGAAACGATGATGATCATGAAGATGATGGGTATCATTATAAACATCACCAGTACCATCATCATGACAACCTTCTTCCTCCTCTTCATCATCATCATGGTCATCATCATCATCATCATCCACAAGACAGGGCATTTGCCAATAAGCATCTCAACAGCAACGATACCAATCCGATGCACCTCCCTTGCATTTCTGGTCACCGCACTTGCCTCGAACGGGAGGCCCAAAGATGGTCCTCCGGGCCCATTTGCCTGGGCCTCGGCAAGGCACAAGGCGGTCCCGGCTGAATTTGTGTTCGGGCCTTCGGGTGTTTGTCTAGGGTGATGCTTGGCTTATCGACTGCGCTCTGATCTCACAGCTGCCCTTTTAAGAAGCGAGCACCCGAAAAATGCAACCTCCGCTGCTGGAATCAGCCAGATCTGTCGCTAGAAACAGAGCTTGTCACCGTTTGGGCATCAAGCGATACTACAAGACACCGAAGTCCACCCGAAAAAATTGTTCAACAGGGCTCTGTCCACGATTGCAGTGGCTAGTCAATTTGCAACAAAGCCCTGGGCTATCACAAAGGGGAGGTAATCATGACTTCTCATGTTGCACGTATATACAGCCCCCATTAGAGCCTTCACAAACCTCAATGCTGAAAGCCTTCATTCAAGCAACTGAGCTCGAAATAAGGATCTTAACCTCAGGCTACTGCCTGCCCGGAAGGATCAGATGGACTTCCACTACTAACGGTTCGGGCCTTCCAGGTTTAGGGAAGCTCGAAACAAAAATCACCCTCAATACCCCCCAAACCCTGAATCCCCCCATCCATGAATTTTAAAAATAAAAAAACCGCAGAACCACCCGGGCACGGTGCATAGCCGGGCGCCGGGGCGGACTGAGCCGGAGCTGGCCGCTCCTGGGCTTAAAAGCATCCAAAGGGTTTGGGGTTTAGGGTTTAAGGGCTATGGGAGTTTCCGGAAATTAGGGGTACCTTATTTTGGGGTCCTTATAATAAGGGTCCTACTATTTAGGGTACTATTATATTGGCGTCCTCTATATTCGGAAACTCCCTTATGAGGCTACGGATTTAAGAGCGGGACAGTGACAGGGTTTAGGGGAAAAGACTTCGGGGTTTTGAGGATTTTGCCGGTACAGGGGCTTGCGGCCAGGTTTAAAGGCTGCATAACTAAGAACCTGACATAGATAGTTGAGACAGTAACACACACTTGCACACGTGCAACTGCAGAATGTCAGCTCAGCAGAGAAACCGATATACGTGTGTCATGTAAACATAGCAACACAAGACGCAGTGTGTCCAAATCACGGAAGTCGAAGCGGATGTACACAGCCCTTGCTCCTCAAATGTAAATCATCTTCCTATGAGGTTTAGGGCTTAGGGGCTTAGGACTTCTGGGTTACATAGCTTCTGACTTGGGAGGTTAGGGTTTAGGGTTGGTTGTGGAGGGAAGCTCTGGACATGGGTTTTCTCATTCCGCTCTCAGTCGAACTAGCACCAGGTGCCGGACAAGGTCACTTTGGCCTGCGGAGGGATGGTATGGGGGGCCTTAATAATGACAATCAGGTTTTTTGGGGCCCAGTACACAAATTATTTCTATTTAGCCCCAGTGTGGGATTTCGGATCTGCGAGTCAATTTGGGTTTCCCGGCCGTTCAGCGAGTTTGGGGTGTCGACGTGAGGCCGCGATGAACTCTTCTGGGTGGTTTTCGCATCAATGCGCGGGAAGTCATCGATGGCATACGCACGCAAACGCACTTCAACACGGAATCAAATCTGCACAGAAAGAGGAAGAGACATGGAGATTCGTAACTGTTTGGCACTTTGAAGACATCAACAGACATACATGCATAGACGCGGCGGG